CACTGACCTCTACTATTCTCTCACAGTAAGATCATTTTTCTGCCTTTTTACCTCATTAGATACTTGTGAGTCGACAGAGTAGATGGATTAGTCATTGCCAACTTTTAAAATCTGGGGTTGCTGTCAAAAATGGAAATAATTTAAACACAATACTTATATGATGATGAATAATTTAAACAGTGGTAATGAAATCTAATTCAAATTTTTATATGCTGACATTACTCTAACTCAGAATAAAACATCACCATGCCCATTGAGATTGGTCAAGCCCCATGCCCACCCTTGACCCCGGCAGGAAGAGACACAAGACAGGAGGAAACCATCCTTTCCCTTACAATCAGCCAATTTCAAAGGCTGGGTTGTACCCATGCAAAACCTAGATAGACCCCTTGATAAACTTTTATTCATCACAATCTCTAAGTTATTTAAGGTTAGTAAATGTTTTCCATCTCAGAGGTAACATGGTATTTGAGTTTGATACTCATTTTGTGATTTATTTCTTCCTTTCATGTTCCATTTTTTAAAATATTTCTTTTTAAAACATTCTAAGATCTAGTGAAAAGGTTTGAACAGAGTGGCAAGGACCTGAGGACCTCTTCCAGTCTGCACTTCCAGGACCTTCCATGAACACTGACTTGTCACGTCACAGCTCACAGCTCCGCCTGATCACTTAGCTGTCCCCAGGCTCCCTGCTAGTGTGATTTAATCTGTCTTGAGAGGTGAAAAATTGCACTTGACCATGTTTAATTGCCGGCATCAGAAAACAGCAATTTTGGATTTCTGTTCTTTGCTAACAACAAAAAAAGGTTCTCCAGAAACACATCAATGACATTATAATTTAGAGAAGACAATAATTAAGAGGAGTCTTTAAAAAATAAGCAGCAGCGGGCGAGAATAGAAGGCAACATAGACAAGCAGTGCTGCTGAGGAAACTGAATAGAACTACTATTTTAGCTAACCTGTTATTTCTGTTATTAACATACTTTTGATCCTCAAGCACCTCTAAATGTGTCCATTGTGCAGAAATAAACAATACTGCCACCTTATTCTGGAATTTTTCATATCCCAAATTTCCAAAGGGGGTGATTTATTAAACAGAGTCCTATTTGCATATCTCATGGATGAAAATAAAAAATGTGACAATATTGCCAGACACCTGGGAAGTACAAAAGGAATATCCAGCAAAGAAGAAAAGGTGCAGTGGCCCAGGAACAAGATGACGAATATAAAGCGATGGCCAAGGAGCAAAGAGTATGGCCGGGCAACGTGCAGGGCAGCGCTGAAAGCACCGAAAAAGGACACAGATGACAGTCGGCTCAAAAAGACATCCAGGGCTTTGACACTGGAGTCCTTAAGTATTCGTACACAATTCACTCTCTGATCCAGCCCACCAGAGACCCTGTACAAAATTTCTAACTGCAACAATTCAATTAAAAAAAAATCATTTCTTGCATCTGGATATTTATAGAGCAAGAATAAAATAACGGATGTAACCACCAATAAGGGCAAATTGGCTATTAGCAGATTATCTGGTAATAGTGAAAAATATCTTAAACCAAGCCCCAGGAATATATTTCTAAACACATCACCTAGAATATTCAGTATGAATTTTACATTGCCTTTCAGACATAAGTTAGTAAACTAAGTTGATAAATATGTATTAAATGCCTACTATGTGTCAGGCATTGTTTAAAGAGTTTAAGATCTAGCAGTAAACACAACATTCTCAAGGAACTTCCATTCGAGTGAGAGAAAGAGGCAATCGGTGGCATGTTTAAATGTACCCCCAACATAAAGCACAGTACTATAAAACATTTCATGATTACTTCATCTGTAGCATAAACACGGAGTACAGACTGGAAAACAATTCTCCGAGCCTTACTGTCTACAATATGTGCAGTTCAAGAATTTTCAAGGATCAAACATTCAAAGTTTCCGTCAATTCTTTAGTTGAAATCCAAACTAACTAGCATATATTAGGTAGTATTTAAGCAGTATTTTATTTCCCTTGAAAATACTCCTTAAATAAATGTTGCATTACAGATGTTTAATGTGTACATTTTCAAAGGTTTTCACACACTGCATGTCAGTTCCTGAAACACTAGACCTTGTGAGCTATCCGAGGGCAGACATGTTTCTCCCTTGTTTTTGCTTTGTCAATTCAGAATCTGCAGTGTGTAGAATAAAGCACAATCTCGAGTTACTAAATTTATTATAAACTACTTTTAATTTAATATTGTAAATAAACTGCTTCTAACCTTAACATAATTGAAAAATAGCTAAGTCTTCTTCAAACACTTCAAAGCTATATTTTAGAGTGTTTTAATTAATTACATATGGCTAAATATTTGTATTGTACTTAAAAACTTTTAAGTATTGCTTAAGCAGGATAGTCCTTGGCTCCAAAGTTTAAGAAGATCCATCCAAGTTGGATTATTTAAACTTGCAATAAATAGATGTATTTTCTTGGAAAAATATCTATTGTTACAGTAATACTTGAGTTTCCTTTCTAACAAGATTGTATGATTACTGGTTTATATTGTTCTTTCCGCAGGAATTCACACACCCCCCGTTTGCATCCTGTTATTCACTTTGAGCTTCCCTTCTCTTCGCTATACTGTTTCCCTAATAGTGGTTTTAGCACACAAAAATCCTAATCACTATCAGCCTCCTCCAAGTCTGGTTTACATTTAGTATTTCTTCAAGTCATAAGGATTATTACTACCTTAAGATTTTTACCCCCTCTGTTCTCTCAAAGACTGCATTCCCATGCTAGACCACCGGGGGTCTGAACAAGACACTTGAGTATCTTTTTCACTGATTACCCCCCCCCAACTCCTGCATCTGAACAACCTAAGAAACTGCTTAGGAAACGCATCCCACTAAAACCCAAGCAAACACATTTACAGTCTTCCTAAAATTTTGTACATTTGGAATTGTCTTTCAGAAGGCAAATGTAAACAAAGATTTAAACAAGTAATTCAGGGTATAATCAAAGCCAAGTTATATCACTGTCTCAGACTCATCTAGGGTACTTATTAAAAATATAGATTCCTGGGTTCTACAAAGAACCATGTAGAATCAGCATAAAAGGGGCATGCCTCAGAAAGAGCATTTTTAACAAGCTCTTCAGGTCATTCTGATGCACACTGAAGGTCAAAAACCAGTAATGCAAAGGGTCTAAAATTCAAGATAATATAAGTGATAGTGCCAATGAGGGATTAAGAGTCTACTATCAAATTTGCCAAACCAGAATTAAAAAAATACACACTCATTAATGAAGAGCTAAGAAAATACGTTTCAACAAGAACTCCAGCTACACTATGACATTCTTTGAAAACTCCGTGAGATACTGAACAGGATGTACATGTCTAATCATGAAAAAAAGTATGCAAGTTTATACACTATACACACACACACACACACATATATGCATATATGCATGCATACACACAGCCTAGAAAGGCAGTAATTATGTTAGTATTAAATGGCAAGCTAGCTACAAACTCACTAAGCAGCTTTGGTTCTACTTCACTACTTCTCAACAGGGAACAACTTGTATTTTTTCACTTTTTAACATACAGTTTGATTTCTCATTATAGAGCAGCAGGAAATGAAAATGCAAAATGACTCACATCAACACATCTTTACCAGAATCAAGGAATAACGCCTCTCTGACTTCTAGATTATGAACTGTGAGAGCAGAGAGCACATCTTACATGTCACGGAACCCTGGCCACAGTTCGCACAGCAAAGGAACAGACACTGGCGACCAGGACAACATGCCATGGGGCTGGAAGTGGCCTTGGGTTTCAGCCAACCACAGGGCTCCTGGGCTTCCACATGCAGACCCAGCCCCACCACCACAGTTTGCGATGCCCTAGGTCTGGGAGGGGGCCCACGGTCTGGCATTTCTCCCAGTTCCCAGGTGATGCTAGTGCTGCCTGTCTGCAGACTATACTTTGAGAACTGTGGATGTAGGGAAAATTTCTCAGGATTTTGCTATATGGAAGGTTCCCAGGAAAGAGAAGTAATTGAGACATAGGAAAACAATATAGGGAATCTGGAAACCTGGGTTCTAGTGTCAGCTCTATTATAAAATGGCTATATAGCTGATAAACACACACACACACACACACACACACACACACACATATCACATAACTCGTCTAGAAGATGAAGGGTCTGCTACAGATGAAAACTGAAAATTTAAAGACTTTTTATGCAAATCAGAGAAAATTTAAGTGTCTATTATGAATGCCTGAAATCATTATCTTCAAATCAATACTTACTGCCCAGATCAGAACTATTCTTCATGACTAGGAAATACTATGATTAAAGGTAACAAATGTCACCTCGCTCAGATCCCTAACTTTACAGCTGAGTAAAATGAGGTTCGAGGATGCTACTGGTTTGGTTCGTCAAATAGTTTGTCAGTAGCACAGTGCAGAATTAAATCCTACTGACTCCTATGATGAAATGCCCTTTCCAAGGGAAAAGAAAACTTCTAATTACACTTTCCTAGATAAACATAATGTTAATACAAAGCAGAATTATACCTATTGGTTAATAAATAACATATCTATATAAATAGCCTGAAGGGAATATATAGTCATTAATATGTGTTTTACTCTGTCCATTTAAAAAAGAGAGAGAGAGAGAGAGACTCTTAAAAAGTGAATTAGAAAAAGAAGTGGAACTGGGAACTGACATACTTAATAGAAGCCTAAGTTCCAAGTACATAATTTTTCAAAGAATGATACCACACTACCATTTAATGGCAGCACCTGTTTAGTGAATAAATCTGGTGAGTAAATCTGGAAAACTGACTTTTGGAAATACTAGATATTTGGCTTTGCTACTTAAGTTTTACTACACAGCAATAAACAAAACTTTTTCACATATGGCTAAGTTTTGCAGTTTTCAACACTGAAGCAGAAACAGCCAAATTCAGCACAAGTATTTTATGATTACAGAAAAATTAAACCCTTCTGTCTTACCATCAAAGAAGCTCTTGGCCCTTAGGTAACTGACACTGAGCCTAAGAACGGAAAGTTTGTCCAGCTTATTAATAACATCTTGTGGAAAAGGCAGCAGGCTCGCCAAACGGTCCAGCTCGGTATTGAGTCGGTCTCTATGTCGTTTGGAAGGATTGGACTTGATTCCTTCAGGCGGGATTGGCTTGATGCTGAAAAACAAACAAAATACCATAAAATACTCTAAAATATATAAAGCAAACATTTCCATTGGCTTACATAGCACCTCCTCAAATATTTCTCTCACAAAGCAAACATCTGAAATCTACTTTAAGTTTACATAAATCCTTTCAAAATGCTCCTTTTATATCTTAATTACATAAAATGGGAATGGGTAAAATTCTTTATAATATTTTATTAGAGAATCATGAACCTGTCACAGGAAAATGCCGAGTTTATCTCATATACTTTATACTTCATACACTTCATCCATTCGTGGGACAGTGATTTCCAATGAACAAATCTACTAGGACTTTTCTCCCACTGTGAGGGAAAGGGAAAAAAAAATAAATCTGTAATAAATTATGTGAAAATCATGTTCCCTTGCAATCTTCCACAAGAAGCATCTTGGCATCATTTATATTGCAGATAAATAAGAGCAACCCTTAATAAAGCACTTACATTCATCCTCCCAGCTTCCTGCACTAAACCCTTTCATCCTGCTCATGACGGCATGTCAAAGCCCCTGGAACCCGTACCATCTCATGGGATCCTCCAATACTGAAAGAAGAAAACATCTGACTTCAGATGTTTACATTTGTTGAATGACAAATACTAGAGGTTAACTGTGATTACTGGAAAATTTTGCTTTTACGACTGCTACTTTATTAGCAGCATCCATAGTTTATCCCTCAATGAGAAAATTCAACGAAACCCGAGCATTTGGTATGATTTTCATGGGAGGAAAGAGACACTTATGGTGAGGAGCAGAGCCTGGGTTGAGCAATGAGAAGCTGGGCTACCTCATACGAAGGCCTAAGCCAGGAAGTCACAGCAGAAATTCACTGTGTAAGGTGAACTGACAGACCATCAGACATCCATGCGGAAACGGAAATAGAAAAACTGGTAAAAAAACAAAACAAATTTTTTGATCATGCCTCTGCATATTTCCATTTGACAGAAAAATAAAGAATTATCTGGAATGTTCTTATAACAGAGACTCTTTTCCAGTTTTAACAAGAAAACAAAGGCATTTTTGACAACTCAAATGATAGTATCTTTAAAAATCAGAAAGTGTCTTAAGTATAGTGCTATTAATTTGATGCAATCAAAATATCCCTAGATCATTTGTTTTCCACTGCTATATGTGCAGAAATAATACTTTGTGCAAAAATACGAAATTTTAATGTTTATTACATTGTCCCTAACCAGTAATATCTTCAGAACTTACTTATTTCTATTTTTTCTATTACGGTGTGTGCTGTTTCTACAAAAAAAGATTATTTAATTGGTAAAATGGCACACATACAAGTGAGTAAAACTATCTCTGTTTGTGTAGACTGTTTGTGTAATTGTATAATTAACAGAAATTGGTGACTGTTTCTCTAGCTATTTTCCCTTAATCTATTGCATTTATCATCAAATTCAAGTCATGCCTAATTACTACATTTCTCCAATTAATCAACTGAATTTCAACTTTTACCTGTAATGTACGTCTACTAACTCTACAAATCAATCACCTGTTAACACAAATATTTATTTGTGCCTATCATGTCCTGTGCAGTCCATGAAAACAAACCTCTCCTACACATTTGAAAAGTGTTATAGGAGTTAAGTACTGGGAGCAATTACTTGAAAAGAGATTTCTACAAGTGGTATATGAAATGAATCTTGAAATAGGAACAGGACTTCAGGAGGGGACATGACTGAGGAATGGTGAACTGTGTTAGAAGTCCCCTGTCTAAAATGTGAAGCACAGGGTTCAAAAAGAGAAGGGGGAAGCTGGTTGGGACCACATTCTTTCAACCAATATTGACCACCCACCATATGCCCAGCACAGAACATTCAGCAGTAAGCAAAACACACTGAAGCTATTGTTCTCACAAAGTTACTTTCCAGTGGGAGGATGTGTATATACTTAAACATGTAATTTTCAGGCTGGAAAAAAAAAAACACACAAAGCCAGATGAGGAGCTAAGCAGTGACAGGGCACCGGTTCTGACCGCCAGGGAAGGCCTCTGATGCAATGTTTCAGCACGGACATGACCACCACCAAGGAGTGAGCCACATGGGCGTCTGATGACTGACATGTCACAGAAATGATACGAAACTGAACTTGGGATCTGGGGATCATCCTAAGCTTTCAGCTGTGATTTACACGGCCGGTGTGGTGTTTTTACTAAGCTGGCTCTGGTGAGGACCGAGAGGACAGAATGCAGGGCAGATCTCACGGAGGCTAGCACTTCTTTCTAAAATACCAACCCAGCTCTGTCCTGATTCAAACCTTTCAGCAGCTCTGCATGTCCCACATTCCTTGGCCTAGAACACAAAATGCATTTTGGTCTTTCTAAGACCCCTAATTATTCTTCTGCCCTCATTGTTTCCAGCCAAAGCCTTCCTTGTCCATTATATTCCAGAGCTAAGAAATTACTTAGTTACCAACATGTACTTTGGTGCTTCCATGTATACTACTCGTCCGCTCTATGTGACCACTTCAAAGCCCTACTCAAATAGATCACTTTTGTAAAGTCTTCCCTGGCCTACTCACAATGGATTCCTCCCGTACTCCTTTCTGTACCTTACACATCGTTTGTTTGCAAATGCCTTACACAACCATTCCGTTAAGGAATATTCTGTGCAGATAACATTTCCCATAACTTAAAAATGAAATCCAGCCCTGCAGCCTTGGTAGCTTTCCAGTAAAGATTATAAAACGCTGAGGAGAAAACAGTAAAACAAAGTTGAAGATAAGCTGACATGACACAGGGAGCAATAGCAACAGTACAAGAATGAGACTGACAGCTATTCCTCCAAGTAGCACTGCTGCCCATCTTGTGCGGGCTCTCTGCAGTAGTCAACCCTGCACTACACACATGAGACTGCCTCCTTACACAATGCAAACCTGCTCCAACACATGACGATGCCCATGACGGAATATTTACCATCAGTTTAAACTTCCTGAGTCACACATTATGTAACCTAAATCGCATATACTTGTTTATTGCTATTATTATTATAAAATCTTAATCATTTCTGCATCCCCACTGCTCTGCGTAGTACTGGACATAGAGTGGACTCTCAAGTAATGTTTGCTGACCAGAAATGTCTAAGAGAAGAAGTGATAAGAGCCTGACCAAAGGCAGTAGTGGTAGGGACAGTGAGTACAGACTAGCTTGAGATAATTAAACACAGTACTTGATGCTTATCACAAAGCTGAGCACCAGACTCAGGTGTTCACCGAATTAAACTCACCTGGTCACCAAACTAGGTACTGGAAGTAAGGGAGAGGAAAACGCTGAGAGAGGAGAGGTTGCAAATGACAAGAGTTAGTAGCTTAGGGGAACAACTCTATTTCCCAAAGCAAGGCATATCAAACAAAGACGACAGAGGCTTGAGCCCAAACTTGCAAAGGTGAGGAAGAGGCCCGGGCAAAGATGACAGAGGAGGAATAAGACAGAAAGGAAAAGAAACAGGGTAGACTATTTTGGAGATTACAGAAGAGAGTTAAATGCACAGAGGAATTAAATAAATTCAGGATTGAGAAGTACCTACTGGAGTTGGATTTCAAATCCAGGTGGTGTTAAACCTAAAGTAATAGTTTTGACACACTTTTTCCTTGATTTTGTGAGAAATAATCAGAACTATTTTGTGAAAATATTTCATACTTAATCATACACATTGAAGATGTACAGAATAATTAAAAATAGTAATCTCATATCAATTACACCCGAGTTGGGTTATGCCAGTACTTTTACTTTTGATTGATCTTTAAATCTATGCCAAAATACGATGCTTGCAAGCATTTATTTAAACAAAAGGCTATATTTGAAATATAAATAAATGTCCCAGTAAGATTGGACTTGGGACATCTGGAATTCAGAAGTCTGCTGAAATAGACTGTAAGATGTTGATCAGGCAAAGAAAAAAATTATTCTCTTTTAAACCTTAACCTCAAAAATCTTGTCCCAACCTGTAACCAGACTGTTGTGAAATCAAGACTCCAGCTGACTGCACGCCATGCCTCTGCTCCCGGAGCCCCGCGCACTCTAAGTGCTGGTGGGGACAGGCCCAGGGCCCGTCTGAACGTTATCTTCACGGCCTTAATCTTCCTTACCCGGGTCTGAAGTGTCTGTTAGGCTCATCACCTGTGCTCAGTGCTTGAGACAAAGTTGAAAAACTTAGCCACCCACTTTAAGTTACTGTATCTGTATTTATATTTTTTTATGGCATTTACCATAAAATCTCAGATGACACACACAGAGTTTCAGTTATCCTATTAGAATAAAGTGAGAGTGAGGCAAATTTTCTTTGCCTTTTTAAAAAGATTTTATCTATTTATTTTTAGAAAAAGGGGAAGGAAAGGAGAAAGAGAGGGAAAGGGGCAGAAACATCAATGTGTGGCTGCCTCCCATGCACCCCCACCGACTGGGGACCTGACCTGGCCTGCAACCCTCAATGTGCCCTAACTGGGAACTGTACTTGAACAAATAACAAAATAAAAAATAATAAAATAAAAAATCAAATGACAGCCAAAAAAAAAAAAAAAAAAGAGAGAGAGAAAGGACATTAACACTGAAATTGATGAAATCCAAAAAAAGTCTATCTTTTCATTTAAAAAAAAAAGTGACATTTTCTAAGAAGAGATCACCTATCACAGCACGAAGTTTGCTCTATCAGCTTTTACATCTGGGTGATTTAATCCACTCTCACTGCTTCAGGCTACTTACCAAGAACTTGTTTATCTTTATTTCCAGGCCCTATACCTAAGTGTCCTCTCATTCTGTTTCCCAGAACTTAGGCTCCCTCTTGCTCTGCATGTTCGGTGATACTGCTCTCCATCCAAAGGCCAGGAACCCTCTCTACCATAGCAACCACACCCAATAAAGCCCAACTTTTAAACCTACCCATTCTTCAGTTCCTCTCCATGGTTTCAGTGCATACTTATTAATCTCTGAATATAAATGGTGAATATTTATAGTCATAAGTTACATGC